AAAATGTTTGGATCAAGTGGGAGAATGTTATATTTATAATGTGATCTCACATTTAGGGATATAGTTTTTGAAATAAAAACTTATCTATTGAGTTTGACCCACGTTTTCTCTTTTAAGTGACGGTTATCCACATACAGTTTTTCCACGCTTCGTACCCCTTCGGTGACAACTGCCCTCTTCAGTAACCGCCTTGATGGGAAGCGGTTTATAAAGATGAACGTTCATTCCATAAGGGCAGACACAAGGTCTAACGCAAACCTTCTCATTCGGTAATACACCATCAGTACGCGAGGGGATTGAGTTAGTAGAGTGCGCCCGTAATCACTGTCAAATTAACGTTGAACTACCGTGGATTTCCGACGAACGTAAAGTTAAACAATGGCTGGAGGTCAGTTTATTTTCGATCCTGTTTTCCGCATTTGATTCTAATTGTGCTTAAATTTTGTTCTTCTATGCATGATTAGAATTCTTCAGTTTTAGTCTCACATGATCTAGTATACGTTCAGTAATCTCTCTGCATCTGATGAGTATCGGACTCGGACGCATTTGTCTAATACAGCTCGCAGAGTGAAGAAAGTTTCCATCGACGGTGTGCTTAAGGTTCTCATTAACAAAATATTCATAAACGCACAAGCCATGCATGGGGAGATACCAATAAATTGCAGACTCGGGACTTCGATACGGTATTTCGGCGCATGATACTCAAGATCACGGTCCGTCGCTACTCGCAAGCATGTCAGACTCTGTGGTTTGGTCGTAAGTTCATGCACAAGCGTTCACGAGCATCATATATTCACAGTGGGGTTGCAAAGCGACCTAGGAAACGACTTTTGTCCAAAAGAGAGACAAAAAAAGGGTTAAAAAAAAGAAGAAAGGAAAACACAAACCACCGAAAACAAAGCCAGCTAGAGAGAGCTCGCGCTTGCTTGTCTCCATGCAAAAAAAGTCATACTTTTTGCTTAGGTCGAGGAAAAGGCAAATCACTTTTCAAGACAATATATTGATAGAACCCACACGATAAATAAATTCAGATGAGGAGGGACATTCAAAATCTCTAATCGAGTGCGCACTTGATAGATAGTGGGCCCGGTGGGTGCTTTTTCCATCGATTCCTTTGCTTCTACTGCTGAGAATACCGGCACCTTCCGTAACCTGTGATCATCGACAAGACAAGACAAGGCGATGCAAAGTGCAAACCATGAGAATGTACGGTCGAAAGCATCGATTGAATGGTCGTCCGTCTCATGAACGTTCATGTGAACAAAACAACTAAAATTTGACTCACTGGGATCGCTGAACGTGACGAGGCCGGTGCCCTTGAAGTCGCAGTTCCAGTAGTTCCTCCCGTGCATCTGGTAGTACGCGTTCATGGCGTACGACGCGTGCGCGTGCACCTTCCCCGCCACGTAGCACTCCCCTCCCTCGTACACCTCCCTGCAGTCCACCCCCCCTGCCCCGCAGCAGAAGTCCACCACCGCCTGCAGCACCCCCTCCTCCGCGTGCGGCTTCGCCACGCACCACACCGACGGCCCCCTCGCCGCCGTGCTGCCGCTCCCCACCGCTTTCTCCCCGAACCCTAACCCTACATCAAATCATATCATTTCCATAGACACAGCACACTATCATGTATTACATATCGTTTTGAAAACCCTTTCTTGGAGGGAAAATGACTTCCTTCCTTCCTTCCAAACCAGTCTTAAAGAAAAGGTTTGAAAAGTTGTACCTCCGCCGCTGCAGAACTGGCAGCTCAAGTCCACATCGTACGACTTCGACCCGTCGCCGTTGAACAGCCCGAAGTTCCTCTCGGCGACGCCGCCTTGCTTCTTGTTCTCGTTGAACAGCGCGAACACGAAGATCTCCACCCTCTCCTCCGCCTTCATCGGCGTCCCCCTGTTCGCCTGCGCCCGCTCTATCAGCCTCGTGTTGTACGCCCTCGCGTTCTCCGGCGTCGCCGCCCTGTCCCCGTCCTCCCCCTTCGATGGCCACCCCGACTCCGACACCGTGATCTCGATCGACCGGTTCCCGAACCCCAGCGCTCCGATGGCCGACCTCACGGCGTCGATCTGCGCGTCCAGCATGTTCGTGTACACGTACCCTTTCGGGTCGCGGACGGTCGTCTTGTTCCCGAGCAATGCGTACTCCAGATTGACGGAGGTAGGGTTGTCGCGGTAGGCGAAGTAGGGGTACGCGTTGATCATGAACGGAGCTCCGGTATCGGCGAGGAACTCCACGATCGAGGTCATGGTCGGGAGCAGAGTCATCGCGAAGGCGGACGACGACGGGGGGAACGACGACCCGAGCACGGCCATGCTGTGCGGCGTCGAGACCTTGATCTTGCGGTCGAGGCCGCGCGCCACCAGCGCCGCGTGCAGGTTCTGCATAGCCTGGACCAGGTCGTTCGGCTCGAGCTTGTCGTCGCCGGAGGTGAGGTACTCGTTGCCGACGGCGACGGCGACGACGGACGTGGCCGGGAGGAAGGGGGCGACGCGGGAGGCGAGCCACTTGGCCGCGGCGGAGGGGTCCTTGCTGAGGTTGGCGACGAGGCGGTTCTCGGCGGAGACGACGAGGTCGATGCCGGTGTTGGCGAAGGCGTCGAGGATGTCCGGGTTGGAGTCGTAGATCTTGACCCGGTCGATGAGGGTGGACTGGAGGAGCTGCGCCACTTTCTTGGGGGAGGGGAGGTTGTTGCCGAGAGTGCCGTAGTTGACGCCGACGGCGGAGACGCCGTGGGCCGAGCCGAGGAGGAGGAGGAGGAGGAGAGAGAGCGGTGGAAAGCGAGAATGGAGGTGGGGAATCTCCATGAGAGGGAGCCTCGCAGGTTTCAGATGATGAGTGGGAGGGGCCTGCTTGGGGAGAGTGGAACTGAACTGGGGGAGTGAGAGTGGAGAAGATGATGATAATAAAAGCAGGGCAAATGCTACTAAGTCATTGCTTGTCGCGTAATTACTGCGTAGGAGAGATGGGTGCTTTTCGAAAAGGGAAAATTACGCAAGTAAAGTAGGGTGCAATGAAATTTTTAAATTTTTAATTTTTTCAATATGATTCCTGAATTTTAATTTAGTGTGTAATATAATTTTTAAATTTTAAATTGTTCAATATAGTCCTTTAATTAATTCAAATTTAAAAATTATATCGAGAGTTATATTAAATAAATTAAAAATTTAGAAATTACATTATAAATTAGGTTAAAATTTAGAGATCGTTTACGCGGTTATTCCTTTACGAAATGCGATCAAATTCAGACTGCGTTAATGAACGTATATCACCATCACCAATGAGGGTTTTGAATGGAGGTGCATTGCCTGCAATTTTGCAGGTGGTGGTGGTGGCAGCGAGCTTTTGTCAAAAAGGAGCATCAAAAGGGTCGTCCAGTGTGGGCCACATCTGATGATGATCGGGCCGTTGATTGGGGGGAGGTGATTGGTGGCTCTGTCGGGATCCGACCGGGGTGTTCGTTCTCCTCTTCACTCTTGTCTCGTGGCATCGCGCCTCGAAACGCAGTCCCAGGTTCCCTGTTGTGTTGGGTTGGGCCGGCGTTTAGTTCTCCCACGTGTAGTTTTGCCCCGTCACTCTTTCCAACACGACACCGCTTCGCGATAATCTATAATAAATAATAAATACAAAGCTCCATTCTCACCGATTTCCATTCACATTACTTGAAAATACAGAATTAATTTAGGTACAAATATGTAAAATAAAAAACAAAACATTTAGAGTTAAAGGTGCCCACATCGAAAGCATTAACTTTTCCATTCACTGGATAAAACCTTATTATTCCAATTTTGTTACATTGATGTTCCTCAAAACAATTAAAATGGGTTGATGCAATATATAAAGACTGGTTATTAGTTATCAATTAGATATGTTGACGGATATGTAATTACTTAATCATACTTATTGACCAATAGAAAGAAGCGGACTGACTAGAGAAAAGTTAAAAGTACTATTAAAAAGTAAAAAAAATCTAAAGGTGTGGCATCTCGAAACCATTACATTTTACATTAAGTAATTTGAAAGCTTAACTTTTCCACTTATCTAGCCTTAATGCTCCTAAAAACATCTGAATTGGACTCGTGCAATGCAGCTTAGTTGTTTCACTTACCTAACACTACTAATGTTCATCAAAAAATTAAAATGGACTCGCGCAACATAGAAAGAGGTTATTAGTAATTAATTATATACCTTTTACATTAATAAGATATAAGAGTTCAATAATACAACTTATCTAACATTGAGGATCCTAAAAAAAGCTAAAAATGGATTCGACTATATCTGTAGTTATCCATCTATTATCTGCAATTACACGTATAAAAGAGAGTTCATTTTTGGTCATTAGACCTTCAAATGCTGAGTATTTTTGTTGTTGAGACTTCTATAATGTTATAACCCCTCACTTAGTTGTAATCCCTACACATGATTTTATGTAATGGTGTAACTGTAGCCTGCGGTAAAGGCACGGTAGTAACCTAGCCTCCCATGTTTTTCCTATTTAATCCAAGAAAAGGTCACGGTTGATATACCGCGTGGTAAAGATGGAGACACATGGTCACCTGTGTCTCCTGCTCACACACGTTTTTTGGTCATAGGATTGGCATGTTGAGAAGGAAAGGTTTAGCCGCTTAAAGCCACAAGGATGAGAAAAGGTCAGGTGAAAGGTAGACAGGAACAGATTCAGGATTGCCTGAGTTGATGGAGCCGTTTCCTCCATGCATGAGACATGGGCTCTAGGGATCCCATCTTCCTCTCCTCCTGTAACAGAAAGTGCTAAGGACAAGGTAAAGATACAACACCACACTATCTTTTGATGCAAATCCTAGACAGTAGCTGCAGAATCAAAAGGCATCCGAGCCACCTCCCAAACAGAGCGTCCAGCCTGGGCATCTAAACTAAGTTCAAACAATAAACCGACAGATATGCTTGGTTATATACTCAAGTGTCCACCACAATTTTTCGGCTAGCTCATGTCCCTGGTCAGGGGTCCTGGCTCGGGTGGGATGCGATTAAATAATCAAAGTTAACTTGTATTTTAATTGTTGCAATCTTAGAAAACGGGGACAATGTCTGCGATAAGAATAAAGAGTAGTTGGCTGGGAGGAGGAAGAACAAGTACCGCTAGAAACCTAATAGATTCGAGCAAAGAAAAAATTCGAACTCATTGCCTTTGAAATTTGAAAGACTGTTTTCGTTATGAAATGAGGAACGCCAGTCATGTAGAAGCTTCCACCTCATCAGAAGCAACAGCTGCACCGTTTGGCGTATCTTCTGGCTGGAGTTGAGCTGAGACGCCATCGATAGCAGAGTTCAGCTGCGCAATCTTCTCTGCCAGAACTTTCCTTGTTTTCTGCAAAACATGTGATATTCCCAGAAGGGTATTTTAATTATGGACTCACGGCATTCTCGTCAAACATATTAAGAATAAGAATTTTATTGCCGAGACTCGTGAAACAAAGAAGCAGGCAATTAGTAGAGAATCCAGGAACTGATGGCGGAGCTCACCTCTAAAGCCTTGTCTTCATCGTAAATGAATTTCGGTAGTTTCTTCATTAATTCCTTTCTGTCAGTTCCAGCTAATGCCTTGCTGATCTACACATAGAAGGAGATTCTAATGAAAAGTTTGCTCTAGCTTTTAATATCCAGCGGAAGAATGTGTTTATTGCTAAAAGTGCCGCAATATAAACTTTTACAAAACAAGAACCCCATATATTTGTAAGTTTCATGTCGGTATAATCATGTCCCTGATCAGTTTGTATGTTCTGCAGTAATGAAATTATCGAGGAGTAACCCAGAATTGCCTGTTTCACTATCTACATCACGTGCTCACAAAAAACAGAGTTCAATTCTCCATAAAATAAAGCAAAGTTCTGTGCAAAAGGATAGCTATATTAGTTTCAGAAAGTGTCACCTGAGGTGCATACACACAACCAAGTGTGCCCATTACAATTCCTCCTAGAACAAAGCCACCAATGAAAATGCCCGTGCCGCTAGACCTTCCACCATCTCTATTACTGACCAGTAAAGGACAGAAAGTTAGAACATTACTCTCTCGTGCCATAACCTTTCAGTCTTATCTTTGGACGAGGTTGTTTCGTTGTGAAAAGAGTTGCCATTTACCACGTGCCTATTTAAAGCGAAAGAAGACGCAGGAAAAGTCATAGATATATAGTGTATGTAGCTAAGTATGACAAATAGAGACTAAGTTGCGTGTCTTCGCCAAGCACCTAAGTGGCGTAATTAGCGACTATTCAATCAATCCTCATCAGGTAATGGCTATGCAACATTGTTGGACTCCAACAAGCAATCGTTGACCTTTGGACGGAAACTGAGATCGGCGAACACAAAATTGCAGGAAGCCGAGAATCATAATCATACCTAGCTTGAACAGTGAGTTTCCTAGAAGCGCAGACTTTCTCTTTGCCGGCATAATCCGAAGTGAACGACAGATTCTTGCAGCCTATTCTCCCAATAAACGGGCATGGTGTCTTCAGAGACGTCCCTACCGAAACAAATCAGAACGCACTATTTAAAGACGGCGAGGACGGCTGTATAAAAGAGTGTTTTTTACAACAGAACGGAGAGCGTTTTTCCATCAGCGACAAAATAACAAATACTTGACGTTCAAACGCAATTAGCGAGCGCATGACTGGTACCCAGTGACTACCCACCATTTGTCTGACCGACAACAGCAAATTCATCGATGGGTTCAGTAATTCTAAACTTGGAAATGGGTTGTTCCTCCAACTTTGATCTCTGCTGTGCCACCAAGAGGGCACGAAAAGGACCGTCAAAGCAAAATCGTCAACTCTCTCTCTCTCTCTCTCTCTCTCCAAAATGATCCATCCCATCTTGAAGAGGATCGATTCATGTACAACTACTTCCTAGCCATGAATTCCAATAGCTAGAGCAATTTCCGCAGAGGAGCCGCATTGGAGCAGATCACACCATGGAAGTAATGTAGGAGAAGACTTACCAAATGAGAAGCCGTCCGCAGGTTTGCTCACTGGCCTCGACGGGCACGGAACTGCAGCCATTGTAGCGCGGGTGCGGCCGAGGAAGAGAGAGAGAGAGAGAGAGAGAGAGAGAGAGAGAGATGGAGAGAGAGGGAGAGGAGTTCAGCTCAGTCAAGAGGAAGACGAGATCAAAGAAGAGAGAGAAGTAGAGGGAGAAGATATTCCTTCGTTTCGATGAATTCGATGTGCTGCAAACTAAGGAAGGACTTTCGTTTTGTTCATCCTCTCTTTGTTATTTGGGCCTAATTCTTCAAAAAAAAAAAAAAGGCCTCAACCTTTTTTTGTATCGCAAATGAACACCAAATTTCAGTTAAATTTTAAATTTGATCCAAATAATTTGAAAATTTCACCAAGAACTAGATTTGGGATTAGAGTAAAATTTTATACTTTTTATTGAGACAAAAAGAATTTGGGTCAAAATTTTATACTTTCTTTTGGAATTAGCCATTGTTATTTGGGCCCATGCTGGCTAAGTAAGAGCGTTTTTATTTTCTCGATTTCTTATCTGTTTATAAAAAAAATATATTGAAAAAAATTATATTTTTTAAATCGCTTGTACCACTTACAAAAATGAACAATTAAAAAATATTTTTATCTTACATAAAAATATATAAGTATAAATTATTATCGATAATGAAAATATTTTTTATTGAGCGATTATTTTCAGAAAAATATTTTCCAAATAATTTATTTTTCGGGGGACAAACGGAAGCTAACGCTAAATTTACTTTTCGAAAAAATTCGACGTTGCCAAAAAAAAAATACTCTCGAGCCAATCATTTTTCGGAAAACTTATTCTCTTTTCTATTGTTGGATGAGGCACGTGCTTGTAAATTAAGATACGCGGAAACGTGGCTTTCGATAAAACTTTCATTTCTAATATGTTTTTTTTATATAAAATTCGTGAGAAAAATACTCATTCGTCTTAATGATTATACACACACATATATAAACTATTTATAGCATTCTTCTCAGGTAAAATAAAAAAAAAATACTTCAATTCTTGAGTCTTGACTCAGTTCGTGCTTATTCTTTGATCAGATAATTATGTACCCTCTCGGCAAAAACATAATTTTACCATAAATACACGATAAATATATATATATATATATATATATATATATATATATATATATATATATATTATATCAAATATCAGAAAAGCATTGTTGACCAAAATCATTTGATTCGACAGTAACTTTTGATACGCAGACCAGACAAAAACGAGCATCCCCCACGATTGGAGAAATGATCTTCAATTCTCGGACTTACCTGCGACGCGACAAAACAGGCATATAATTTCATTCCCTCTTCTGTCTCCACATACGTTGCCCCAACGCATATATTCTTCTTCGCCCGATTGAAACTTCGAAACCAGCATATCATCAATCTCTCTCTCGGTCGGATGCAAGCATCAGTATAGAGAGAAGAATTTGAGGCCATGGCAGGTGCTGCAGGAGAACAGTCGTTGCAAGAGTCGCCGATGTGGGCGATCGCCGTCGTGTGCGCGGCCTTCATCGTCGTATCGGTCTTCATCGGACAGTGCATCCATTTTCTGGCCAAGGTATTGTATTCCGCTGATCTGGGAACTAGCGTTTGCGTTGTTAGCATCGCATGAGAAATTTCTTTGATGGCAGTGGTTCCAAAAGAGCCAGAAGAAGGCCATGATGGAAGCCTTGGAGAAAATCAAAGCCGGTATAACATCGTATTTCCGTCTCTCTATATCCTACGTAATATCGTGTTGCACGATGAAATAAATTTCAATAAAGATTTATATACGTATATCGTGCTCGATTACGAACTTATCGTGTTCAAGTCCGATGAGCTTTGATAATTTGGATGTGCAGAGCTTATGCTGCTAGGCTTCATGTCTCTAGTACTCACCGTGAGTATAGGCGTCCTTTCAAAGATATGCATCCCGGCTAGTTATGGCAAAATCATGCTTCCGTGCAAGTTTGATTATGAGAACAAGGACGACGGCGACCATCCTTACAAACAAGACGACAATCACGACGGTGACCATGATCATGACAAGAGAAAGCTTCTTTCCCTTGCCACAGACATGATGCAGCGCCGATCTTTAGCGGCTTCCGCCCCGGACGATTACTGCTCCAAGCACGTACGACCTCCTCCCAAACTAGCAAAACCCTTTTGACGTACAGTTTGTGGTAACTTCTTTGTTCTGTTATTTTATGGTTTTGCAAGACATTGATTCTGATGGATTTGAAAGCAGGGGAAGATATCGTTGATCTCTCAGTCGGGGCTGCACCAGCTGCACATCTTCATCTTTGTCCTGGCCGTCTTTCACGTTCTCTACAGCGTCGTCACGATGGCACTAGCAAGGGCCAAAGTGAGCCTTCTTCCTTCGTTCCAAGTTTTAAAAGGACAACGATACACTTGTTCTTGCTGTATCATGGTTTACAAGTTTACCTGTCATGGGCCCATAATTATGACTCGAGGCCCGAAGTTTCGCTGACGAATGGCGACGGCAAAATTTAGATCTTGGCTCAAGATCAGGTGCAAGAGGCGTGCGGTCGCCGTCCGACATGTGGGAACCATATGGACCTCGCTAGATAGGACGGTAACTAAGTGCCTGGCGCACCTGATTTTGGATCCATCTAAATATATCCATACATGTAGCATAAATGCTTGGCATTTTAAACTTATGTTTGTTATAAATCGTGATGCTATGCGATATTGAATGGCGATTTTTCTTAATTTAAGGACAACATGACAATTTAGTATATATACTTGGGCCCAAAAAAGCCCGCGAAGGAACCGGTCGATGAGTGGGCTGGATCGGATTATAGCCCATCTCTCATCGGTGCAACCACTGATTTGAGTCCCCAAAAGGTTAAATTGAACGATTTTCACAAGTCCTCATGAAATTTGGTTTTGGACGTTTGAACAGATGAAGAAGTGGAAGGCTTGGGAAGCAGAAAGCTTGTCTCTGGAATATCAATATACTCATGGTGATTGATCCTAACTAAATCATCTTTCTTTCGAGCCGAACCCGAAACTGCAAGTTTCGGTATCGTAATTACGATGCGGTCGTGAAATGGTAACGGCAACTCCTGCTGTGATTTCCAGATCCGGAGAGATTCCGATTCACTCATCAGACTTCTTTCGTGAGGCGTCACTCCGGCTACTCGAGAGTCCCCGGAATTATATGGATCGTGAGTCTTGCACTTACACAGCCTCTTAATCCATTCTAGTCGTATCTTTCACTTCTGGTTAGTCAATTTGGGCCTCACTTTGTTCGTGATTGACCCTCAAATCCTCAATTTTCACCAGGTTGCTTTCCATAGGCAATTTTTCGGATCGGTATCAAAGGTCGACTACTTGACAATGCGCCATGGCTTCATCAATGTGAGTTTAAAGCGGGGAAATTTTACTGAAGTCTATGCCAATATGTGTACATGAAAATGCTCAACTTTGTATTTTTGTGCATTGAAATGAGAAATCAAACTTGTCATTTGCTTTTTACGGGGACCAAGTGCAGGCCCATTTGGCTCCTAATAGCAAATTCGATTTTCACAAGTACATCAAGAGGTCCATGGAAGACGATTTCAAGGCCGTCGTGGGAATCAGGTGCTTCTGCTCTCTATGAAGGAAACTGGAGATGTTCTATTGCAGCCGCAACGTGTACTGACAATTTTTATCAGAAGCTGATTTCTCCTTTCCATCTTTGGTCCTATTTTGCAGCTTCCCGCTGTGGATTTCTGCTATTTTGTTCCTGCTGCTCAACGAATACAGTGAGTATACCGTTCTAGATCCCAAGGTCTAGCAATGCATCCATTTTTCTGTACCCTGTAAAATTTTGATCTTCTTGTGTGAATTTTTTGTCAGAATTGTACGCACTCACCTGGCTATCTTTGGCTCCACTTCTCGTAAGTTCATGCATACTCGACCCCCCCACATTTGGGACAATCTTTCGTACACATGTTCCGACGTCTTTCCATACATTATGATCAGTTTAGTACCTCGGCTCATGGTAGATACTGAAGTATTACCATGCTTTTCTTTTTCTTCTTTCGATTCTTTGGTGGGTCGAGCAGATAATTCTTTCGGTGGGCACAAAACTTCAAGTGATTATCATGGAAATGGCTCAAGGTATCCAGGACAGGACCAGTGTAGTCAAAGGAGCTCCAGTTGTCGAGCCAAACGACAAGTTCTTCTGGTTCAATCGGCCTCAGTGGGTTCTTCTCCTGATCCATTTCGCCTTGTTCCAGGTAGGTAACACCGTGTTTTATGCCTTGGAAATAATAGGTATTGCCCCGCTAACAAAAGTACCTTATCCCCTTTTTTTTTCCGATACAGATTATCTTTGTTTCGATTCGTCCTTTGAACTCGAAACATCTAACTTCGTTTGTCTTTCAATCATTGCAGAACGCCTTCCAAATGTCATTTTTCCTATGGACTTGGGTATGAATTGTTTCTCGTGATCTGATACCATCTACGAATTCGTTTTTCTTTTTAATCGACGGTGTTCTAAAAGAGTACCCCCGATTCGTCAACGACGGTGTGAAATTTGACGGTAATAATCATCGCGTCGTGGATTGATGCAGCGTGAGTTCGGGTGGAGATCATGCTTCCATGAGAACGTTGGAGCTAGTTTGTGCAGGGTGCTTCTGGGGTTGGCACTTCTGTTCTTGTGCAGCTACATCACTTTCCCTCTCTATGCTCTAGTCACCCAAGTGAGTTCTACCAACAAAACCTTTCTCATAGACATTCATTTCCTTTTCTCATCCTCTTCCTTAGGCGAATTTGCGACTATTTTGGAAAGAGTTAAACGATTACGCGAGGTTAAATAGTTAATAACACCGTAATTGAGATGACGGTCCGACGCGAATCAAATAGAAACCCTTTTCTTTTTTTCTCTTTTTTTTTCGACTTTGATTGCAAATAATCAAGAGTTGGTACGAGCTCAAACGCCCCGAACTATGCTCCCACAGATGGGGTCGCATATGAAGAAGGCAATCTTCGAGGAGCAAATGGCCAAGGCCCTAAAGAATTGGCACAAGGAAGCTAAAGTGAGGAACAGGCAGCTCAAGAAGGCCGGGCTCGGAGGAGACAGCTCATCCCCGTCGTCGCCATCGTCGTCGCCACCATCGACGACGGGCCACGCTACATCATCGCCATTGCCCTTGCTCGACAAGCACCAGGCCGGTAATGGCGAAAGCCTCCCCATCTCGCCAATGACCGATCACCCATCGTCTTCACCACCAAATAAGGATCGGCTCTCGAGTCCGCGGACGCAGATGGACGAGCCCCACGAGACACACCCACCAAGCAAGCGCCAATGCGGAGTCGCACAGCATTGAGTTTTCCTTTTCGTCGAGCCCTAACAATTAGATCTCCTTCGTTCTCGATCCGCATGTACAATCAGAGAAGGCTATTCAGTCTTCACTCGCCATTCGGCTATTTTATTAATTCATCGTGATCTGTGAAAGAACCCCGATTCCGTTTACGAACCAATGTGGTCAGATTCGCACACTTAAATGCTCTATTTATTAAATTATACACACCCTTACAAGAGACTAATTATAGTAGCTCGGGCCAATTATCAATTGATTAAACAGAAACATGCAAGGCTAATCCAATGACATCTCTCTCTCTGCTGCACTGGAAGGATCTCACTGCAAATTTTCAATTTTGCTGACAGGGACACCTCGGCAGCAACAAAATAAACAGAAAAGATTTCCAAATCGAGAAAACGCTTCCCATATATTCAAATGGAATCGGAGGGGCCCACTTCTCTGCCGGGCGATTTAAAAAAAAGAAGAAAAAAAACCGAACAAGACAACTTCATCGTGAAAGCGTCCGCTCTTTGTCTTGAGCAGCTCGAAATTTTTCAGATAAAGACGAGACGGTTTTATTTTTTTATATATTTTTTTAAATTTTAAGTCCACGTTGAATAAAATAGAAGGGGCGTGGGAAAATGATTTTTTTTAAATTTTCCGAGGCAGCACACATGAGCTATGCGCCCATCATCAAGTCAAAGGCCAGATATTTCGTTTTATTTAGGCGGAAAATTAAATTAATAATATCCCCGACATTTTCGAGCCCATTTTTTTCACGAAAAAAGTCATCTTTTGTTTTTCCCATCATGCCGTTTTCCGAGACGCGTATCGCTTTTCTCGATGCGGCTTATGTCCAAAAAGGAAAAGAAAAATTCGAAATTCGGTTAATTCTCTCGAGCTAGTCATGAAATCGCCAATCTATCTGATCTCCAGTGTCTCAAAATTTTTGCCATTTTCCTTCTTCCCCTATTCTGATTGCGTGAATAAAAAATCAGGGGTGATCGATTTTCGGTTCGATCTGATTTCAAGGTGGAACCAAGAATTGAGGACTAGACCAGTTGGTCCTAAGACTGAGGATTAGATCGGACTGGATCGGTCTAATGAAATCGATCACTTAGAAGTTTAGTTCACATTTTCAATGAATTTATGTGAATGAAGTTCATTTAGGCTACGTTTGATTGTCCGGAATTCTAAACAGGATATGACTGGATAGGATAGGATAAGAAATCCTGGGATTTCTTCATATCCTATTCACTGTTTGGTAGACTACGGATTTAAAGTCGGATAGGATAAATTTTTTTTTTTTTGCTATTCACGGGTCCGGAGGAGTCGGTGAAGGAAAAAAAGCCGAGAAATTTTTTTGGTGAAAGCGCACAAGGTGTGTGAATGAAGATGACGGCGAGTGAAACGTAGGGTTTCTGAAAAAATAGGCATTAGAAATCCTATCCAGGTCTATCCCACCCTCCCTCGGATTTTTTTATCCGGGCTATATCCGGTCTATATCCGACCTTATCCTATCCTGGACCACCACCAAACACAGGATAGGATAAAACATATCCTATCCTGGCTTTTATCCGGTCGACCAAACGCAGCCTTAGGGTTTAGTTTACATTTTACTAATTTTTTTTGAAGAAATAAGAAATAAAAAAAATATATGTAGTTAGTCCGGTCCGGTCCCTTTTTGAAATTGGGAACCGGATCGCTCGGATACCGATTTCACTTTTAGAAATCAAGAATCGGATAGGCAATCTCAAAATAGGTGAATCCAATCAAGGCGGTCCGTTTTTCACATCTATGACAAACACTACGAGGTCGAAGGAGTGGAGAAGGGAAGAAGAGAGCGAGAGGAACATGAAAGCAGAGGCACATGGTACGTGGGAATCTGATTTTGACCATTCAACCGCAGCACGATGACACGAGACGATGCTTCCTCCAAAAGGGTCGCACCATCGACTCTCTCTTTGCTCTCGAGGCAAACGGAATATGACGGCAGTCATGATCAGTGGTGCCGAAAAAGGAGAAATTGCGTGACATTTGCACGAAACTTCCCCAAATAAAAAGTTTATCTGCAGGAAAGTATTCGATAAAAAAAAGTTGTATTTGTAAAAATTCGACTTTAGAGGCACAGCTTTTGCGATCGGAATAGGGCAAAAGGTATTTTGTTTGGGAGTATGAATCAGTTAAAAGGCGTGCATATTCATGTTACTCAAAAAAATATTAAGAGCGTGTTCGTTCCACGAAAAATGATTAATTTTGAAAATATTTTTCTGAAACTAATAATTTATATCGCTTTATAAAAATGAATCGATAAAAAAGTTTCGTCATACGCGTAAATATTAAGTCATAAATTATTATCGATAACGAAAATATTTTTCGTTTGTTGGTTTTCAGTGATGCGAGAAATCATTTAAAAAATTAAAATTATTTATTTTTCGTGAAATAGTTAAGCGAAAATTTTCTACAAACCAAAAACTTTAGGGCCGGCTCCTTAGCGTAGGGCCGTCCCTCTGATAATAGAACTGTTGAGCGGCCACCCAAAAATCGGAAAATAAAAAAAAATATGAAAGTGTTGGGAGAAACGATTTTCAATTCATTTATTAAATAAAACCATTAAAACTAAATAAAAATACGGTCCAACACTGTTCTATATCTTTCTTCTTCTCTCTCTTTCCGCTTTCTCCTCCTCCTCCTCCTCCTCCTTCTCCTTCTTCTTCCGGGGCTCTGTGATCGGAACTCGAGCTCACGCACTCCAAGCCCTAGTTTTTCTCTCTCTCGCTGCGGTGGCCAGTGTCACCGAGTCGCTAGTCGAGTTTGACTCGGCACGTTCTTCAATACAACCTCCTCCTTGTGGCGGCGCCGATAGGCGAAGGAGAAGTTCCGGTCGCCGAAGCGCTCGCCGGGAGCCTCCAGTGTCGGGCCGCATTGCTTCGCCGCGGCGACCTCGAGCGCCGGATGCTCTCGATCGACGAGCTCCGACCCCGGTTTCGGCCATGTCTAGGCGTCACGGCTGGGAACTCCCCGCTCATCCCTTCCAGGTGGTGCCGCACTCTCGTCGTGTGTCCCGCGCTCGCTCAACTGGCTTGCGCCAGCGACTAATTGCACATTGGAGTTGTTCGTTGTTATGATGACTCGTTTGGCGGTTTGTCGCGTGTGGAGTTTTTTTTTTTTTTTGCTTTTTTTCTGTCTTTTTGTGGATCAGTGAGTAACGTGGACCGAACTAAGGTTTCCTCGTGATTTTTCTATGGATAAGCCGTTGTCCTGGTGCGGTGATCGTGGTTTTTTTGTTCCTTGTTTTTGGAGCTGGATCTGGTGGCTGATTTGCGTGGACGCTTTACGACTTTGATTGAAGCCGTGACGCTTTGCGTAACTGTTCAAAGTCAAATTTAGTTTCCCTTTTTTCTATTTTTTTTTGGAAATGTGCCGATTTAAATCATCCACCACGAGATGGAGCACCACAGTGATTCTTACATGGATGGCCGTGTGCCCAATCAGAAAATCTTGAACAGTTCCAAAATTCGTGGGAACCATTTTAGCGAACTTTCTGCCTGAATGTTGTCGTTTAATTTGATGGGAATCGGGTTCAATTTTGAATCCGGCTTAACTTCCCTGAAGGAAAAGCTTTTCATGCTGTTGCTGATGTCGCCATGGCGTCGATAATCTTTTAAAAGCCTGAAATTTGATTATGTGTTCCGATTACTGGGGTCACCATTTTGCCATAATTGACTCATCTTTGTCTATACTTGCAGGTGGTGGCGATAACAGTGTTCTTCTTACTATCTGTGGCATTTTATGCCTTCTTTGCTCCCTTTCTTGGAAAGGACATATATGAATATGTCGCGCTTGGTGTTTATTCATTGTTGGTAGGTGCACTTGGTGGACTCTTTTTTTTCCTGTTTCGTGTGAATATGCTGCTGCTTATATATCACACGCTTATAAGATTTTTCTTCTAGGCTCTCTCCGTATTTATACTGTATGTCCGGTGCACTGCCATCGATCCTGCTGATCCTGGGATTTTGGTTGAAGTTGACAGAACTTCAGCGTACAAATCGCATACCGGAACTGATTTAGCTGGTTGGTGTAGTTTTTGTTGTTTTATTATAATTGTTATTATGATCCAGTGAAGAACTTGCTTGTTAAACTGTAATCAAACTAATCAATGCTTCTCTGAATTTTCTTTCCAATCCGTCCTTTTCTTTTTCTGGACCAAATCCACACACAAGAACGTTTTCAGGGTTATTTTATACTCTGGTCTCTGCAAGAGGCTGAATAATGAGTCACTCAATTTGCTGGTGTGAGAAACACTATGTGTACTTAGTCTTTCTGTACATTTTCTTAGATGAACTTCATCTATGGCCAGGAAATACTGGTCCAGTGGAAGAGCCTGGCAAAACAGGTCTGAGGAATGGAGAAAATTCTGATAGTCATAATACAAGTTGCTATTTGATGTTGGGGAGATTTTTCTGTGGATTCCTTGTTAAGGAAGATTGCCGCAAGGATGAAGATCATTTGGAGGAACAAACTGGAGATGAGGATGCTCTATTTTGCACTTTATGCAATGCCGAGGTAAAGTCCTGGAACCTGGTTTATGGCTCCACCAGCCCATGGTCCTATTAGAAGAGGAAACTAAGGGTAAAAGGTTGTTCCTTTTTAAGTTTATGAGAGGAAAAGGTGGAAGTTTAATTTGCTGGAGTCTTAGGCCTGGACTCTTTATGGACCTAGAAGATAAAGAAGGGAACATTTTTTGGTTGCTACTAATATCCTGGATAATTTCCATAATATTTTTTTTATATGTGGAGCTGGCTAGGCACTTGGAAGACATGGCATGGGGTTCCTCTAATAGAAAACTTATGCACTGGTGTAACATATGTAGGCTAATATAAATAAAATACAGAATTCTGCAACTGAGTTGGTATCCCTGCCTCTATAGAGTTTGAGGTACTTGGATTAGTTGTTAAGCTATGGACTCATTTTCTAGTTGGAAACCTTATAGGACTTTTCAGTCTCCTTGGAGTCTTTTGATGATCTCGCAGTTAGATGGGGAATCCTGAATTTGGACCTAAATGGTGGTCTGTCCT